CCCGGTCATGTTGTGATAGTGTCCCGGTCATGTTGTGATGGTGTCCCCTTCATGTCACGCTGGTGTCCCGGTCACCTTGTGATGGTGTCCCGGTTATGTTGTGATGGTGTCCCAATCATGTTGTGACGGTGTCTCGGTCATGTTTTGATGGTGCCCTGGTCATTTTGTGATGGTGTCCCGGTTATGTGATGATGGTGTCCAAGGAAGAGATGGTCGATGTGTTGAAAACAGCAGCTGTTTCCAGATTTTTCTTTTTGTCCCGGTTTGTATCTTGCTATTGGGGTCTCCAGCTGGGCTAATTCATTTTTGCTAAGCGAGGAGAACTCAGGTAGCTCAAGCTACCTTTCGTGAATAGCTTCACCTTGTCGGGTGTTTGGGGATGAGTCTGGATGCGGGGGTTGTGTATGGAATAGTGGAAATATTTCCCAGAGGAGTCACCCTGGAACAAACAAATGTCAGTGAACATGGCCTGCCCCACAGGACAAAATGTCTGTCACATAAGGTTTTCACCAATTGTGGTGCGAGTCGGGTCTTTGGATCTAAACCTGGGCGTGGGGCGGTTGCATGTGGAATGGTGTAGATTTTTGTCCAGATGCACCATCCTTGCAGATGGTGAATGTCGTTGGACTTGGTCAGCCCTAATGGACAAAAAGAATTTCACCTTGGATTTTCAGATTTTGGTGTGAGTCCAGTCTTTGGGGGTGAGTCTGGGTGTGGGTTGGAATGTTGTGGCATGTTTGCCCTCAACTGTCAGCTTTGAACATGAGTAATAATGGTAATGCAACCGAAAATGGTCAACCCTCAAGGACATAAATGCCGTGTATTTTGATTTTTGTTATCGTTCTCATATTTTTGCAAAAATGGTCGTAGTGTGCTGATTTGTGTTTCCCTCTTCTCCTTTCCCTCTCTCCTCCTCCTTCTCCTTCTTCTTCTTAGTACATCCTTAGCCCCAAAATGTTCGCAATCTTCTCAAACATCCCCGACGGAAGAAAAAGGGTGATGATGATCAAGTCAAAAAGCAAGAATGGTTTGTGGTCATGTATTCACTCAGGATTTTTTCCTGACCCCTACCTCCAGGAACATGGAGAAAAAACCTTTTAACAATTACATGTTTCCCTGTCCCCTGACACCCCCCAAGAAACAATCTTTAGCAATATACTTAAATCCTAGCCCCCAACCCCCCCCTCTCCAACTCAGAGGCCAAGTCAGGATTTATCTCCTGGGTGGCCCGCTCCTTTGTGCCCTGAAAGCGACTTTTTCCCATTTCGACATTTCAAAAAGCATAGTGCACCCCCAGGGTTTAATTTCGGCAGTACAAAGGATTATAATACAGTATGTTGAATCTCGTGCGCAGGAACGCATTCCTGCTTTCGTTCGTGCTGCAGGGACCATCATCGGCGCGACGCTGCGCAATCTGACGAATTTTGCTTGGATATAGCTGCAGGCGTCAGGAGAAGCTTTCTTCTAGAGTGCCCTGACCATTCAAGACATGGACTCCATCGAAGGCATCGGTTACACATTCGCCTGATTATCAGCCATGGCACATCGTGATGTCACAGCTGCCAGGGCTGCCACGGGTCTGCCTTCCCTTGTGCCAGGAGTTCCTGCTTTTATCAGTTGAAGCAACACCCTGATTTGCCTTGGCCAAGAATCACATGACATCTCTTTGAAACCTGTGGGAGCATTTGCGCATTTGATTTTGATATTTCGATGAAGAGAGGGTTCAAAGCATGAGCCCCAGTTGGTTGAGGCTTGAGCTGGAATCAATACACTGGAGAAGAGAGCAAAGATTCTAGATTATAACAGCGTTGAACTTCGTGCGCAGGAGTGCCTTCCATGCTTTCGTTCGCGCCGCATCGGCTTCCAGGAAAAAGGATGTGCCCCGCCTACCTCTGTGAATCAAAAAACATACGTATAAATATATGTAACTGTATATATTATATTATACTATATATATAGAGAGAGATTTAAACAATATAACTCATGTGTGACCCATCGCGACCATGGTGACAGTATCGCAACTCCGACAAAATGATTTCCGAGCAACTTTGGAAAAAAGCTTACGGAAACGCCTTGGCCACAGAGCTTCCATGTAGCATGCCTCCCCGCCAGAATGAAAACAAAACTCAAAAGTCAAAAAAGAAGCACCTATCCCCGCCTTCAGCAATGTCCACAAGGCCCAGCTTGGACCCTAGGCAAAGTGACGCGAGGGCGGGGAAGCCGCTATGCTTGTTGTACGGCAACCGGTTGAGCATCTACTAAATCGTGAAGGTTCAAGTTTCAGTCATCAATCTGCATGTCATTACGAACCTGAAAGGACAGAAAGGTCCTTACAGCGGACTGCCTAAATTAGACCAAACCAGCACTGAGCACAAAAGGTATATGTGAAGGAAGCTTGCAAGCGTAAATGGAAAGAGTTGAAACGATGAAAAGGCGAGACAAGCAAGTTGTTGGACCAAATGTAACAAAACAGCGTGAGGCCAGTTCACGTGGCAACCAGCAAAAATTTGATTTTAGCTCAAAGCGCATTCAAATCACGCCTGATATCACCACAGCCCATCCATATTGTCTGATTGCAGCTAGGGCCGGTCCAGCTCCATGATCATCACTCACCTGCTGAGTCGTAACAGCGTCAACAAATATAATTGCTTGGTTACTTGTCAAGGGTGCCGCATTAAAGTTGCCACGTGGCCTCAGGAAAAGATGCCAACAAGGACCTGGGATTAGCAGGTGGCTCATTTTGGACCACGCGACTAGGCCCACGTTGGAACATATCGAGTTTTGTCCATTTAGGCTCGTTTTGGAATACGTGACTACTACGCTCAATTTAATAAATACAGGAATCAAGAAAGATATCCTCAGACAACAACACACTGTAATACCTAAACTCTTGTTTTCACGCAGGAAAAAAAGGACAATTCACATGATAAAAAGGACGTTTCTCATGAACAGAGATTTATACATACATATATATATATATATATCACTCCCAAGCGTCGGAAACGCGACCTCGTGAGCTCCTTCCAAAACTCTCTGTGAAAGGTTGCCTCCTCTAAAGTTTACCCTCAGATGGTTCACAAGAGGTACACCACTTTGGAACGGTTCCTGTCGTCCTCATCCTTCCGAGAATGGTCACAAAATGTATGCCACATTGGAATGGATCCTTCCTTTTCTAATTTTTGTTACTCCGGCAGCGCTTAAAAAGTATGCTAGGTTTCATGATTCCTTTTCTGAATTCTACCCATTCTACCCTTGCGTGGGTCACAACAGGCGAGCGACGTTGAAAAGGGCACCCCTTCTCTAAATTTAACTGTCCGGGATCACAAAGGGATGCTACGTTAGAATGGTTCCTTGCTCCTGGGTGTAAACGGTGGCTGGTGTAAAGCGTGGTTTGGCGTAAACGTTGGTTGGCGCAAGCCGTGGTTTGGCGTAAACGGTTTAATGCAAACGGCGGTTGGAACTTAACCCGTCCCAAGGCGGGGTTGATCCACAGGGGATGAGGGGATGAAAAGGGGAGGAGAGGGGCCCCCAACAAACAAAATCACTACTTAAATCCAAGAACAAAGACTTTCAACGACGCAGCCCCCCTTGCTTACGCAAGATAGACCTCGACTCAAGTGGCTAATGCAACCTTTCGTTACAAAAAACCGCGTGTACAGTTGCAGGGCGGCGTATCAGTTCCTCCTTCTTCTTGTCGCTTGTTGTTGTTGTTGTTGTTCTTGTTGCTGCTGCTGTTGCTGTTGTTGTTGTTGTTACTATTGTGATGATTGAAAAGGTCTTGTCCCGCAGAGGCGTAGAAGCGGAAGGTCTAGAGATCTAGTCGCGCTAGGGATCGCATTGGTGGCCGCGCACGCCGATGAGCGCCTCGATCAGACACCCGTCCTTGACCACTACCGTAAGAACCCCCAGTGTTACCACTAGGGAAAAACACACAGAAATCACATATCAGAAGCATCATCAGAAATCAGAAATAAGACGAAAAAAGAAAGTACCGCCCGGATGACAACAAACTAAAAACAAAACAAGAAAAATACTCAGAACAAAAAAACATGGAAACCACATGAAACCACATATCAGAAGGGCTTCCCCCAAAAAGATAGAAAACCCTCTGCAAAAAAAAACGCAACAAAACGACAAAGAAGACACGCGTTCCAAAACGAGCTTGATCTCCCGTGTTCCAAAACGAGCCAAAAATGACAACTGTCCAAAACGAGGCGGTGGCGGATCCCTCTAGAATGTGTTTGTAGCTTTGGCCGTCTCTTGCCAAAGGCTTTCTCTCTCTCTCTCTCTCTCTTTCTCTGTCTATATAAATTAATATATATGTATATATCTCCATTGGTTGATGCGTTGGCGCAATCTCGGGCGCAGCAAGGAATCTTGGCGAATTTCAATTTGCGCGCGCGCCTTTCTGGAGATCTTTGGTTTTCTGTGGTCCTTTGTGGGTTGGCGAGCCAGGTGATTGATGGTGACACAGTGCGTCGTGTCAGGCCGCGCACGTCCGGCTGCAGCATTTTCAACCTTTTGCCAGCTTGGTCTGTCAGATGCAGAGGGTGGCCACGGGTGGCTTCCCAAACACCATGTAGTGGCTAAACTTCCGTGCGCCTTTGATTATGTATTTGTAGTTTTATCATGTTCAATGAAACTTCCGTGGATCTTTTGATGTCATCTCATACTATACTTGCCGATGTTTAGCATATTGTGTGTATTGGGTTGGGTTTGGTTGTTGAGCGTCTGTGTGGGCTTAATATGTCCGATATATTCCTTAATGTCGGTGTCAGAATTATACCGCCTTCACATAGACCAACCAACCTGTAATATTTGAGGTGTTTCATGAAAGACACACTGACGCACAGCTCAGGCCCCAGCTCTGCTCCCAAGTGCACAGTGCTTGCAGCCAGTAGGTGGCCAGACGACAAAAGAACTAGGAGATACTCAACATCCTGGCGCTCAGGTGTCGAGCCAGAACAGTGCACGTTTTTATCCTTGCGACATTCCTTGGCAAGTGAGAGCCGCTCCTCCACAGGTGACAAAGCCACTCCAATTGGGCGTGGTGCCACCCCAAAACTCAATCCGAGGTCTCCCTGACGAAATGCCAAGGCTAACAACATTCCAGGCGAGCGTGCGAGCGAGCGAGCGAGCGAGAAAGAGAGAGAGAGAGAGAGAGATTGGGGAAGGGCCACGCATGAAGAGTGGAGTTTTTGATGGGCAGCATGCGGCTGACTCTCAATTAGAGCTCTGTGACAATGTGAATGTATCAAGGAACGCAGCCGTATGCCGGTGGAGATTGTCAGTTTGATATACCATTTCCGAAAGACCCTCTGAAGTGAAGGAAGAAACTAACCAACCGAACAACACCGCGGGTGAACTGATAGCTCGACTTGCACTGTTGATAGACTTCAAGACCTTCTTGCCCACGCTTCCCCTGCGATGCTGGAAGCAAATGACTTCGACATCAAGGATAGCAAAGTATGGGCTCTGAAGATCATGAAGGCGGTGCAACTCATGAGGATCCATCTTCATTGCACTGGAGCGCGGCCTGCCTCAACTTGACCCTCGCGCAGAACCCAGGGAATCGATGTTTTGCAAATTGCGTGTTACGGGCCTGGTGTTGGGTTGGAGCCTTTCAAGATGAACCACAGAAGTTTTGGGGCAATACCACGCCTCTTTGCCTTCAGCTTCTGCAGCAGCCCCTCATTGAAGACATCTACCTTGTGTCGGATTTTGCTCCTTTGTTGGATCAGATGGAGCGGCCTGATGCACAGCAGGATGCCTCTGAGTTTCTGGGCGAACTGTGGGGGCAGGCCAATGTCCAGAACAATACGCAAGGCTTGCAAGGGGCCTGGGCGAGTCTTATTGGCAACAGGCTTCGGTATCATGACACTGTGCCCATTTTCGTTAGCATGGGCCAAGAGGCGCCTCAAGGCATTAGCATTGAAGCCTTGCTAAGTCAGTGGGTCAACGAAGAGCGTGGCCAACGTCTCTCTGAACATGTGGAGCATGTTGCTTTTTGGTGGGCAACGAGTGGAGCTCCTGGAACCGCGATTTCAATGAGTAAATTTGCTCTCAGAGCTGTCGTCGCCCACCTGGGTGAAGATAGGGGGCCACTACACCTGTACTGGTAGACCACTCAGGCTCATGGCCAGCTATGAAACGGGCAGAGGAGGGACATCCGGTGGCCATCTCTTTTGTCTCAAAGAAGGTGAATCCTCCTATCAATGCATTCCTATGACTTCCAAGGTCATGGGTTCCACGCCAATTGCAAGGATTACAATGCGGGCCATCCATGTGGCATGGACATGCCCTTTTGAGCCTCCTAAGGGCGGAGCTGATTGCCACCAACAAGTCAACAACGCAACAGCGTCAGCAGAAGTGTGAGGATCAGTGGTTTCGGATGTGGGCCGCTAGACCGCAGGGAGCATTTGCACTCGAGGCTCGTGCTCAGGCTAGACAGTGGCCGGAGCTTGATGTTGTTGCAGAAGGCACGCGGCCTGACGGGGTTCACATACTTGCCACATGAAGAACAGCTCAAGACCTCCTTGATCGCCCTCTTGCCCAAGAAGCCCACGGTTGAAAGACCGATAGCTTTGATGTCAGCGCTGTACGGAGTTGGTGGAACGCCATCGTCCAGGCGGCATTGATGCGGTGGTGACGGCTGAAGTAGGCCGGGCTACTGGCAAGCACACTGTGAGCCTCTACGATCACGTCGATTTGGAGGTTATCTTGGGTGAGTGGGAGGCTCTCAATTTCCCTGCCGTTGGAACGCTATACAGGCTTGCTGCGAATCCTGCAGGGTTAGAACGTGGTTTCAATGCCAGTTCACTGCAAGAAAGGAATTCTGGCGTCCGGCCGCGCCGCCATTGCCAAGTTGGTTCACGTCTGAGTTTCAGGACACGCTGGTTGATGTTTGGGTTGGTGACATCAGCATCAACTTTGTTGGCAAGGAGGCACCGGCCATGGTGTCTGAGGCCCTTCGTGGACTCACTCGAATTGAGTTCTTGCTGGAGCGTGCAGGGTTGGAGATCAGCATCAACAAGACCGGCTACCTGGTCTCATCAGCGGAAGCGCGTCGGTGCCTTCTGACGCACCGAACTGATGAGGAGGACCTCATGAAGGACCTCGGGCTTGACAGCTCTGGCGCCCGCAGACGCAGGATCACCACCGTCAAGAAACGGAACCTCAAAGGAAAGAAACGGTTCCAGAAGATGATGCAACTCCGCATTGCACAGAAGCCAGTAAAAGTGGGGTTATGGAAGGACTCCATCCATAGTGCGGTCTCCTATCGCAATGAGGCGCGAGGACTATAGCCCGACAGCGGCTCAAGCAGTTGTGGCTACAACTGGGACGCACAGCTGGCCTGCAGGTTGGAGGATCGCTTGACATCTTCTTTGACCAGCAAGCGGACTTGATTGGCGCTTGCAGTTGTACGCCAGCTGCAAGCTTTCCACAAGTTTTTCTTGGCTTGGCCTCCGGGGCAGCTGACTGAGTTGGAGCAAGCCTGGATGGCATCTTGGCGCCGCTTGAGCGCTGCAGTTCATCGCTGGCAGGCTTACTCATGGACCTGGGTTGGAACTGTCAAGGGCTCTATGAGTGGTCCAGGCAAGCACCCAGGTCATGCCTGCGGCCGTTCAGCTGGAACATGCTTGACCGGTCATAGCTCGCCTGTTGAAGAGGGAGGTGAAATGGCAGCGCACAGACCGCATCCGTCAGCAGACTTTCTGTGAAGAGATTGCTGGGCCGCTTGACTGGAGTTTCCTGCGCCTTGGTACAGACCTAAACGCAGGGAGCACTCAGGACCCAATTACATGACGCCCAGGTTCAACCCCCTTTGTGCAATGAACCACTGACTGCGGTGCACCCGATCTGGCGTTGCAAGTTCTGTGGGGGAAAGGATGAGCCACTTCCACCTGAATGGCAACTACAAATTGATGCGGGCACATTTGGAGCCATGGGCCCGGGGGAGCGTCCAGATGTTCAGGGTGAAGACTGAAGAAGGAAGTGGCTCCTTTCAGTGCCAAGGATTTCTTTCTGAAGGTTGGCCGCTCAAGCTACACCCGTCCCAGCGGGTGTAGACCTGCCATGACAGCAGGGTGAAGCGCTATGCGGTGGCGGTCCTCGTGGGTCAATGGACCAAATGCCAATGGCTTCTGAACGGCTCGTCGGTCACTTGCATCGGTCCTGGCCAGGCCACTGAAAACACTGGCCTGGGCCACTGGGTGTTGGATCACCCTCCTTAAGGCCTTCATGGGGGTGATCACTGTGAACGTCCCTTGCAAAGTGGCCTGGCAGACCCTTGCCAAGAAGGGCAAAGGCACAGGCATAGCTGACCTGAGTGGCAACGACTCCACACGTGCCATGTTCCTGTCCAGATGAAGGGCAATCCAGACTTGCACAAATGGCGGAGGAGAGGGCAACAGCAGAGACCCCACTGGACCTCCTGGATGAGCTTGCGGCTGAGGACCCTGAACATCAAAAGGTCTATGCCCGTGCAGTGGCCGGGGCAGAGACCCCTTCGTTCTGCTTGGAGCACAAGAGCCGAATTAAAAAAATTATACCAGCGTAGACCCCAAACAGAGCAAGGTTCAAAAATGAGATCTCCGAACAATATGGCCAGCAGTATTTCCTAGACGAAGAAAACTATAGTCCACCATGTAGACGCACATACAAGATTCAAAGGGAAAGCATTAAAATTCTGTTTTTCATTGACTTTACAATGGGACGCCGTACAAGGGCTAAAATTAATCGGCCCAGCATCCAGCCAAGCCCGGGGATACAAAGCATCCAGACAGGCCATGGCAAACAAGTGGAAGACAAGTGAGCTTACTGGGAGCCAAGTCGAGACATGTGGGAGACAAGTGTGAAATCATGCGGCCAGAGCACTCAGAGCATCCAGAGCTTACTGGGAGACAAGTGGGAGACAAGTGTGAAATCATGCGGCCAGAGCACCTCTCCTTACTGGGAGACAAGTGGGAAACTTGAGGCCGAGGGTAGGTGACGAAAGCTAGCAGGGGTGCATCCGGACTGGTGGGACATCAAGCGGAGTGAGGCAAATGCTCATGAGGTAAAACGTTGTGAACATGTAAGACACACAAACAGCAATGACACAGCCAACCTTCGAATTGAAGTCCCCGACAATTAAGGAAGCGTGGCTGGACTTTGCCACACTGTTCGATGCATCCGATGTGTTCACGAACCTGTGAGCTTGTTGAATCTGTTGCACCGTATCCCAAAACCTCCACGGAGGAGTTGAACCAGTGATGCCATAAGAGGTGCCCAAGAGGTGTCCCAGAGGCAAAACAAAGCTGCTTGCATGATTTGTTTGGTTTCTTCTATCGATGTCGATGTCATGAACATGTGAGCTTGTTGAATCTGTTGCACCGTATCCCGGAGGAGTTAAGCCAAAGTGGATGCCATAAGAGATGCCCGAGAGGTGTCCCAGAGGCGTCCGAGGGGGGAGTTGAACCCACGGGGGGGGGGGCCCCCCCTACATATGAAGTTTTCACGTGATGCGGCGATCCCGAGGATTCCAGCCCCTCACTTGCTAAAGCAAGGACAACTCCAGCTAGCTGGTGCTAGCTTTCGTGACAAATGGGAGACAAATGGCAGACAAGTGTGAAATCATGCGGCCAGAGCACTAGAGCATCCAGAGCTTACTGGGAGACAAGTGGGAGACAAGTCTGAAATCATGCGGCCAGAGCCCTCAGAGCATCCAGAGCTTACTGGGAGACAAGTGGGAGACAAATGGGAGACAAATGCGAGACAAGTATAAAATCATGCGGCCAGAGCACTGAGAGCAAACAAGTGGGAGACAAATGGGAGACAAGCCTGAAATCATGCGGCCAGAGCACTGAGAGCATCCAGAGCTTACTGGGAGACAACTGGGAGACAACTGGGAGACAAATGGGAGACAAGTATAAAATCATGCGGCCAGAGCACTCAGAGCATCGAGAGCTTACTGGGAGACAAGTGGGAGACAAGTGTGAAATCATGCGTCCAGAGCACTCAGAGCATCCAGAGCTTACTGGGAGACAAGTGGGAAACAAATGGGACACAAGTATAAAATCATGCGGCCAGAGCACTCAGAGAACCCAGAGCTTACTGGGAGACAAGTGGGAGACAAGTGTGAAATCATGCGGCCAGAGCACTCAGAGCATCCAGAGCTTACTCGGAGACAACTGGGAGACAAGTGGGAGACAAATGGGAGACAAGTGTAAAATTATGCGGCCAAGCACTCAGAGCATCCAGAGCTTACTGGGAGACAAGTGGGAGACAAGTGGGAGACAAATGGGAGACAAGCCTGAAATCATGCG